ATTCCCCAGCCAGCATAGCTGGCTGGGGAATTCTGGGAGTTGAAGTCCACATATCTTAAAGTTGCCAAGTTTGACAGACACTGCTTTAGCTTAACAAAGGAAGTGCTGTATTTAGCCTAAAAACACGATAGCTTTAAAAGATTAGATGAATCTAATTCTGAATCAAAGCCACCAATATAGTTTCCACAATCCAAAAAAGTTGTTTTCCATCGAAGACGGTTGTTCCACGTCCTTCGGCTGTGAAAGCAAGTGACTTTTTTCTCTGAAAACAGACCCTTCTTTTCACCCCATATAAGAAAACATCAGGACCCCCAATACAGCATTTTTTTTTTTTTTTTTTTAAGGGTAGAAGGGAAAAAAATGAGAAAAATTTGCTATTCCTATACATAAAGAAAAAATGAAATGCGGGAACCTTTAAGCAGAAAGGGACATGTTAGAGGAGAATCAACTTTTATACAAAATTTAACAATTTAAGCTACGTGTGAACTATGTCATGCTTTACACAAGTGTGCTGTGCTAGTCTGAAAGTAGCTCTTGATTTCTTCAGTTCCGTGACATCAGCGGCGGTGGAAAGCTAAGCTGATTTATTTATGGCTTTATTTGAGATGTAGCTGAAACTCTATAAAGATATTGCTTTCTCTTCCAAAGGCTCTGAAATGCTGTCCCCCAATTTTCTCATTCAAGGGAACGCTTACTTCACCCTGCCCTGGGCTTCAGCTGACCTTGCAGGTCCTTTCATGAGAATGGTGGCTTGGTGGCTTTGGAGCTCAACCACTCAGATTTTTTTTTCATGGAACTCAGCAATGCATGAAGGAAGAACATGGGTTGAAAGGGGAAAATTAGATTTTTTTAAATTTCTGACTTTGGAAAAATCGGGAATTAGGGGCTTAATTTCCTTTTTTTTAAACTCCATGGCCTGTAACAAATAGCAGGAAGCAAAGTGGCAGTTGTTTGATGCTCTCCGTTCCTCGTTCCCAGCCTGTTGAATCAGCAGCAGTACGGATGTCCACGGGTCACTCCAAAGCTATTCTGTAGTTCTGAGAGTGAAAAAGGTGGTGGGGTAGAAGAGACTTAAGTTGCAGCAAGAGAGAAGGAAAAGTCAACAGCCGTCAGGGTTGCTCTCATTTCCAGACGATTCCAACTCCACGCTGGACAAGAATTTCCGCGTGAATTTTTTGCAGTTGTAATCCAGCGTAGTAGTGTACACAGTCTTGGTGTGCTTTGGGTAGACGATAGTGGTGCTTGTGAAATTCCTGGGCCTGTTGCAAAGTCGGAATTGCACCTCAGCTTTGTAACTGCGCCACGTGCTGTCAGGAACACAGATGACCGTTTGGCTGCAAGAAGACACGCCTAGCCTGACCGGCATGTAAATATTACTAATGAAGTGCTTCTCCGAGTCATACTTCACCGAGGAGGTGTATCTGGGCGAGAAAAGAACAACACGGATTAGCCTCATTTTCTGGGAGGGGGAGAATTAAAGGTACTTGAAGATTCCTGTTGCATCTTTCAGCTGAATGTTATGGAAGACTTTTTACACAGGATCCTACGCAGACAGACTTGGAAACGAATCCCGTCTCCGAAGGCTCACTGTTTCAAGGGAGAAGTTTAACTCGCTCTGCATTCTGTTCTTAGTGCAAAGAAGTCTGTTTTCATTTCTATTTGAAGCTGTAACTTGAGACCCACTTCCATTTCATTGTGCCATGAAGCCAGCTCTGCTGGCACTTGCTTCTGTTTAGAGCAGTGTTTTTCAAACTTGGCAACTTTAAGAAGTGTGGGTTTCAACCTCCCCGATTTTCTCCCCCCCCCCTCCCGCGTGGGGGGGTTGTTGG